GACCCAAAACATCAGCTTTCCTTCTCCTCTGATGCTGCCTGGCCTGCTGTGTTCCTCCAGCTCCACATTGTGTTATCTCAGGACTGCAACCATCCTGTCAGCTTCACCATGACTGATCATCTGTTTCAATTCGATTTCCTCATTCATTTCCCATATCCCTTGATTCCCTCAGAGACTAAATGAGTGCCTTTTTGCATTCAATTTAATCAATGCACTTGGCGCGTTTTCTTGGGCTAAACACCCCAATATCACAGATATGTGATGATGGAGAAAGAGGCCATTTGGACCATGGTGCTTGTTAAATGATTTCTGGCACCCGCAGTTCTTTAGGTTTTTGTTTTCCATTCAATGAGCATTCTCATTGAGTTCCAATCTCCTGCACTTCCCCCCATAGCTGAGTACATTATTTTTATTCAAATCATTGACCTAGATATGGTCTGAATGCTTCTCTATGCATCAAACACATAACATATAGTATAAAGACTGGATTGTTGTTGAGACAGGTATCTTATCATTATCACCATCAGATAGAACGTAGAACATAGAATATTACAGCGCAGTACAGGCCCTTCGGCCCTCGATGTTGCGCCGACCTGTGAAACCAATCTGAAGCCCATCTAACCTAAACTATGCCATTATCATCCATATGTTTATCCAATGACCATTTAAATGCCCTTAAAGTGGGCGAGTCTACTATTTTTGCAGGCAGGGCATTCCACGCCCTTCCTACTCTCTGAGTAAAGAACCTACCTCTGACATCTGTCCTATATCTATCACCCCTCAATTTAAAGCTATGTCCCCTCATGCTAGCCATCACCATCCGAGGAAAAAGGCTCCCACTGTCCATCCTATCTAATCCTCTGATGATCTTGTATGTCTCTATCAAGTCACCTCTTAACCTTCTTCTTTCTAACGAAAACAGCCTCAAAACCCTCAGCCTTTCCTCATAAGACCTTCCCTCCATACCAGGCAACATCCTGGTAAATCTCCTCTGCACCCTTTCCAATGCTTCCACATCCTTCCTATAATGCAGTGACCAGAACTGTACGCAATACTCCAAGTGCGGCCGCACCAGAGTTTTGTACAGCTGCAACATGACCTCATGGCTCCGAAACTCAATCCCTCTACCAATAAAACCTAACACACCGTACGCCTTCTTAACAACCCTATCAACCTGGGTGGCAACTTTCAGTGATCTATGCACATGGACAGCAAGATCTTTCTGCTCATCCACACTACCAAGAATCTTACCATTAGCCCAGTACTCTGTATTCCTGTTACTCCTTCCAAAGTGAATCACCTCACACTTTTCCGCATTAAACTCCATTTGCCACCTCTCAGCCCAGCTCTGCAGCTTATCTATGTCCCTCTGTAACCTACAACATCCTTCCGCACTATCCACAACTCCACCGACTTTGGTGTCATCCGCAAATTTACTAACCCATCCTTCTACGCCCTCATCCAGGTCATTTATAAAAATGACAAACAGCAGTGGCCCCAAAACAGATCCTTGAGGTACACCACGAGTAACTGAACTCCAGGATGAACATTTCCCATCAACCACCACCCTCTGTCTTCTTACAGCTAGCCAATTTCTGATCCAAACCGCTAAATCACCCTCAATCCCATGCCTCCGTATTTTCTGCAATAGCCTACCATGGGGAACCTTATCAAACGCTTTACTGAAATCCATATACACCACATCAACCGCTTTACCCTCATCCACCTGTTTGGTCACCTTCTCGAAGAACTCAATAAGGTTTGTGAGGCACGACCTACCCTTCACAAAACCGTGTTGACTATCCCTAATCAAATTATTCCTTTCTAGATGATTATAAATCCTATCTCTTATAATCCTTTCCAACACTTTACCCACAACCGAAGTAAGGCTCACTGGTCTATAATTACCAGGGTTGTCTCGACTCCCCTTCTTGAACAAGGGGACAACATTGGCTCGTCTCCAGTCTTCTGGCACTATTCCTGAAGACAATGATGACATAAAGATCAAAGCCAAAGGCTCTGCAATCTCCTCTCTAGCTTCCCAGAGAATCCTAGGATAAATCCCATCCGGCCCAGGGGACTTATCTATTTTCACACCTTCCAGAATTGCTAACACCTCCTCCTTATGAACCTCAATCCCGTCTAGTCTAATAGACTGTATCTCAGTATTCTCCTCGACTACATTGTCTTTTTCCTGCGTGAATACTGACGAAAAATATTCATTTAGCACCTCTCCTATCTCTTCGGACTCCACGCACAACTTCCCACTACTGTCCTTGACCGGCCCCAATCTTACTCAGAAGTAACAGAAGTTTATTAACAACGCCATTTGCATGGCTTTGACACCTTATACTGTACAAACTGAGTTCCTTGCTGACTGGCTAATACTCCTAATTACATGTTTACATAACTGACTGAACGCTCTAACCTTACTCCATTGTACAGGGAGCATGACTGGAGACTTTGTGTGGTGGAATCAGTGCAGTATGTTCAGTCGGTTATACACTTATTTTGTTAGGACCATACTGAGGAGTGTTGCCAAAAAGACCGTGGAGTGCAGATTCATTGTTCCTTAAAAGTGGAGTCGCAGGTAGACACGATAGTGAAGGAAGGGTTTGGTACACTTGCCTCTATTGGGCAGTGCTTTGAGTGTAAAATTTGGGAGGTCATGTTGATGTAATATAGGACATTGGTTAGGCCACTTTTGGAATACTGCATTCATTTCAGTTCACTCTGTTATAGGAAAGAAGTTGTTAAACTTGAGAGGGTGCAGAAAACATTTACAAAGATATTGCTGGGATTGGAGGGTTTGAGTTTTAGGGAGAGGCTGAATAGGCTGGGGCTATTTTCCCTGGAGGGTCAGAGTGACCTTATAGAGGTTTATAAAATCATGAGGGGCATGGATAGGGTGAATAGCCAATGTCTTTTCCCCAGGGTAGGGGAGCCCAAAACTAGAGGGCATAGGTTTAAGGTGAGAAGGGAAAGATTTAAAAGGGACCTAAGGGGCAACTTTTTCACACAGAAGGTGGTGCGTGTATGGAATGAGCTGCCAGAGGAAGTGGTGGAGGCTGGTACAATTACAACATTTAAAAGGCATCTAGATGGGTACATGAATAGGAAGGGTTTAGAGGGATATGGGCCAAATGCTGGCAAATGGGACTAGATTAATTTAGGATATCTGGTCACCATGGATGAGTTGAACTAACTGTCTGTTTCTGTGCTGTTCAGCTCTATGACTCTATATGACATGAGATATCATAGTGATGTTAGTGGCGTTATTAAACTTCAGGTCATCTGTCTCAATAAGAACCCAGTCATTATGCTGTACCTTATGTAGTCTGGCATATAGAGGAGCAATCAGACTGTATCCAGGAAGATGGTTTAGATAAAAATAATGTGAATTCCTTCTTTTACTCTGGGAGCTGGACTTTTCCTCGGGAAGTCAGTACTGTATTTGGTTCCCAAAATAGGTTGGGAGTGTCCAGGAGAAAACAGGCATGCATTTTGATTTTAACCAGATTGAGTGGTCATTTCAGAAGGCAGTTAAAAAGTCGATCACATTGCTGTAGTTTTGGAATCACATGTCAATGGTTGTTATTCCTGAGACTATGTTCCAATTGCATACTTTATTGATTGAATCTAAATTCCACTGGTAGGATTGGAAGTTCTGTTTTTCAGAATTGCTAACCCAGTGAGATTATTGCCATAGCATTGTCGCTCCCTAGACTTTAGCAACAGGTCATTAACCCACTGACTGCAGAAAATCATAATTGTAATGGAATGTGGGACTACTTAGAGCTTTATGCTGAGATTCTGAGATTTAGGCCTCAGATTGGTTGTACAGGAATAAAACAAGTGCTAGTAAACATTCTGAAAAGCAGCATTCATCAAGTAGCGTGCTTCGAGTCAGAGGAAGGAAGCATTACACCGGAACCCAAACAGAGCCCAGGAAACGAGCCTGGATTATCAGCAATCACAGGTTGCAGCTAACAGTTTTGAAACTAAACCACTGATTGAATAAAGAAATGAAACACAAAGCTGTGGAGCTGGTATATGTGCTAAACACAGACCCTTTTTGCTGAGTCATCTCGTTTTAACCAGTTTGATTGATGCTGCAAATTTCCTTCACCATGACTTGTCGGCAGTAGGTGGAAAGTCACAACCCCCCACCCCCCCCCCACTGTGAGGTCAGCTCAGCAACTTCATCCTCAGCCGGGACCGCCTGGGGGAGAGGGACAGAGGGGGTGGGGGTGAGAGAGAGACAGAGGGAGAGAGGGGGAACGGACAG